ATATGAGTTGGAGAAAAATTGAAATTCCGATTGTTTGGCTGCATATCCGCAAGATGCAGTTGAAAGGTGTGTGCGTGTGCGTGTGTGTGTGTGTGTCTGTGCAGCTGTGCACACCCCAAACGTGTAGCTCAAAATTTGAAAACCACATACATATACACACATTCGTACGTATGTATTGATACAGCCGGCACTGTGTATCTCGAAGATTGCGTTCGTGTTCGCAATTGCAACTCAATTGCGCATTTGCCACCGCAAACATCAATATTCTGTAGGGAGACATCGGCATAGGCATAGACCATAATCACGTCTGAGGAAACAGCGGCTACCCTCACCCACTCAGCCACTCAGCCACTCACCCACACTATACGCACTGGGAATCGCACTCCCTGCGGCCAATTTAATTGACAGATTTAGTGCGACTCGATTGGCAGTGCGGAAAATTAGTTTTCCGTCTCGCAATCAGCTTTCGGCTTGATTTTCTGAGGCTTTTGTACGTCCCTCTTTAATTGTTTTATCGACACCCGGGCAGTACATAGATATTTATACGCATACATACAAATATGTATACCTTATAAGGTGAAAACACGCCCACGAGCGACACGCACGAAAATAGATTTAATTAAATTGCGAACAAAAAGCGTGAGTTGTTGTAATCGGAATAAGCAAGGGGAAGAGAGGCCATCACACACTCAATTAATCGATTTTGTATTGATTTTATATGTGTGTGCGTATGCGAACCTTATGGCCACAAAGGGTTTCTGTCCAACAATTTCCGGTTGAGCAACTTTGGCACAGCTTTTGCGTCTGGCCTTGAGTCCAGCTTGCGAGGAAACAGGACAGGAATCAGCCTGGACCCGTTCAAGCGAAACAAACAGCTGTGGAACTTACGAACAAACTACTGAAATTGTCAACTAATTTATGTGGTACACTAAAGCAACAATTTGGATTATAGAACAACAAATAGTAAATACTTAAAGTATTTACTGGACTTGAATACTTAAATTTGAATTTCCTTTTGGTCAGCATATAAATATTTATTCTTTAATTTCTGATGAATCAAAATTCTTTGGGTTTCAAGTTTAGAAAGTATTTTAAAGAAAAGATTCTCTTTTTTTTCTAATAATCTCAGATCTGATCTTTATCGCATAAAAGTCAACTACTTTTGCTCTGCTCAGCCCTTTTCCAGCTAAGCGTTTGTAATTCCAGCGAATTACACTTAAATACTGTTGCTTGATTACTCCCAGACCTTGGACGAGACGTGTACCGCGATGGATTCTTCCCAGTTTTTGGGCCAGTGGCGGGCGCGTGCGTGACAATTTTATGTGCCGGCAAAGGCAGGAGCGACGACAAAACAAAACATAAATTAGATCAAGGGGCGGAGCAGGGTAGAGAGGAGGTTTGTAGGTAGCGTTTAGGGGAGCCATTGGCACTGGGAGCTGGGAAATCGAATTAGATATAAGTAGTTGCCTGCCAGCCTGTATATAACTGTGTATGGCACACACATGCGCACTGCTGGTGCGTGTAGCTGGGCCTGTTTCACCACATGTATCTGTATCTGTAGCTGTAGTCGTGTATCTGTGTGTATATAAATAGTTATAATAGAAGCATAGATCACACGATGCGCCGCATGCAACATGGAGTCACCGTCACCTGGAGATTTATTGGCAACGTCCCGGCCAAGGGTGAGACGCGAACAGAGAGAGAGAGAGAGAGTGAGAGCGAGAGGCGCACGAAGGTAGAGAGAGTGAGATGTAGCTACTGTGTGGCAGTTGGCCAAAGACGTGGGCTCTACTTTTTGTGTCTTTCTTTCTTGCTTTTTGGGCGCTCGCGCTCGGTTCAAAGTTCGCAGCAAAGGCAAACACGTAAGCTGTCAAAACTTTAAATCCCGCAGGAATTAAAGTTAAAAAATACAACACGTACTGGGCACCCGGGCGCAGCTGCTATCCAGCAAGTAGCGCTGCTTCCGCGCCCCGCGCTCAAATGAAAACCAAAATCAGCCATCAGCCGCGCAGACAGAACCTTGAAATTGTATCTCAGAGGCAGATAGATATACGAGTGTGCCTTAACAATTCAAGTAGACAACGGCGCTCCCCACTTCCCCTTTCCCCTCGGCTCTAAGGCTTGCACTCGTCTAAATAATCTAAGAAAATTTCGCGCCTTGCCATAGAAAGTTTTATTGTCTAGTTGAAGTCCTGCCTCCCGTGCCCCCTCCGTTCCACATGCCAGCATTTAAATTATGTACTTAGAAATACACAAAAATGCTCCGAAAGTCTACAAAAGAAAATGGCGTGGCGCAGCAGGAGATGTGGCAGCAGCAGCAGCAGCAGCAAAGAAGTAGAAGAAGAGCGCGGCAGCAAAATGAATTTCGCACTTTTTCGCATAATAAATTTAAAACTTGGCCAGCACTGAAGAAAAAAGTGAGCCCCGAAAAAAATAAGCCAAAGATGGAAAAAAATATAGAAGCAAACTTTGGTAAAAAGTTTATTTTTGCATATATATATCTATATATATATATATATTTATATATATAAATATATATATATATCTGTAGAGTTGGAGTAGCATTAGGGGTCAGGCGGCTCTGTGGCAGGCGCGTGACAAATTCCATTTAAAATTGTTGAGCTCAACGCACGTACTGGCAGGAAGCGACTCGGGAGCCGCCTTCTTGCCAGTTGCCTCCTAAACAAAATGAAACTTTTGCTAACCTCAGCGTGATGTATTCCACTGGCACAGGACATGCGCCAGGACTTCCGCCAGCCAGCCAGCGCGCCAGATAGAGCGTGCGAGTGAGCCAGCGAATGAAATGGCGCTGGAGAAGGCCGATGGGGCTGGCCAAGTGAAGCGCTGAGACTTAAGTTAATCAGCAAACAGGTTTAGTGCTAAATAAATTTATTTATGCGCTTACGGGTTGCCATTTCATTTGTATTTCTGCATTTGAAGGCAACCAGATGGGAGCTGAGGGACTTGAGAGTGCTGAATACCATGAGAAAACCAAAACAGAAAAGATAAGTTTGATTGGCAACAGCACGATTGAGTCAATATAATAAATCATTGTCAATATAATAAAATCATTGAGAACTTTACTACATAAAGACTTTAGTAAATGAAAATAATTTAAAGATTCAATTAAAGAAATTTTAATTTGTTCAAGTAAATAATAAAATAAAATATAATTCAAAATAATAATAAATTAAGTCGAAGTGCAATCTGTCTAGTCTAAAGATCACAGCAAATAGTTTCTACATAAGTCAATAGAGAGTTTCCTATGCAGTGAAATTAGCTTAAATGACATTTGAATTGCTTTAAAGCTCAAGTTGCATGGCAATAAAAAACAGATATTTCACCATGTTCCATATACGTAAGTATTATTATGCCATCAATCTGACGACTTATCTGTTCCTCCCACATCAGATAAGTCCCAAAATGCACAGATTTCCAAACAATTTATGTAAATGTTTATGTTTTGTAGTCGATTTGCGTTGTTTCCAATTAAATAAATGTTTTTGCACAAAAAATAAATATATATACGCATGTGCATATGTGCATATGTGTATGTATATGGCCTGCGCATATAAGTAGATAATTTCTTTGTTGCATGGTGGAAATTTTATTTTCATATCGTTTTTATTGTCTATAAAATTTTCTCGCCATTTATTTAACGTGTGTCTGGGCACACACACATAGGTAAACACAAATGAAGACAGCTCAGATACATGCATGCTGGCATGCTGGAATACTCGTACATGAGCCAATGTGAAAGATAAATGCGTTTTCACTTTATGACTTTCGTGTCGGCATAAATTTGTTAATACCTTTAGGCCAAATTTATAACATAATAAATGCTCATAATATTTAACTTAACATTTTGCCAGGCCGGGCCGCACCGGGCCAGCTCGGACCAGCTCGGGCCAGCTCGGGCGAGGCCCAGACTCAAACCGCCCCAATAAAATGCGAAAGTTACTTAACATTGTCCATTGGCAGCAGGTCGCAAGGAGAGTGGAGTATCTGATAAAATCTCTCCAGCTCGTGTGCTCTTCTGATTGTGCATAATGCAGTCGAGAATGCGAATGTGTGTGAGTGCACATAAAATTGAGTTATTGCACTTGAGGCAAATTAAACTTCATAAATATTTAAAATCAGAGATTAACACGGCAGAATAGCAAAGCCTACAAAGAGCGTGAGAGTGGGACGGAGAGGTAGAGTGAGGGAGGCATACGGGAATCGTTAAAGTGCAAACACATTCCATGTGTTGTTGGCGACTTTTGTGCTTGGCCAATTAAAGTTGCATTACAATGGCATAACTGCAATTTAAGTAGCAGACAACTGAAAGCCTGACAGTCAGCATATTCCGAATGCAGCATGTAGCGTGCAGCGTGCAGCGTGCGGCATGCAACGTGCAACTCAACTGACAGCCGCTTGAACGTCGCTCGGCGGCAGCACAGCAGCAAACGTTCAATTTAAAGTAACGATCTCTGCGGCTCAAGATACAGATACAACTGCAGCAACAGCAACAGCAACTGCAAGCTACGAGCTTGCCAACAGGCAACTACTAAGAGCTAAGAGCTAAGAGCTCAGAGGCAACAGCCATTGGCTATAAAAATGAAATGTATTTTTCGTTGCTGTGTTTTGTTTGGGTTTCTTGTTGCCAACCTACGTCAAAATGTTGCAGATCGTTGCTGAAAAATTTATATTTATGTTTTGGACAACGACAAAAAACAGCACAACAACTACAACGACAACAAGCATCACAAAACAAATGATCTTTGTTGCAAATTTTGCGAAATGATTTTTCAATTTAATGTGCCTGTTGAAATGTTTATAATCAAGCCAAATGAGGCAATTGAACCCACACTCGCTGTCTTCGTTTGTCGAGGCATTTGAATACACTGCATTGGGATAGATATCTTGCTTTGTCAATGTACCTGAATATCTAATAATGAACTTACTCTTAGAATGTTCTTAAAGTTTTACTAATTTGTCATTGCAATTGTGTTCAACAGGCACAAATGGTCTGAGGAGACGCGGCCGACAGACATACACCCGCTACCAGACGCTCGAGCTGGAGAAGGAGTTCCACACGAATCACTATCTGACCCGCAGACGGAGAATCGAGATGGCGCACGCGCTGTGTTTGACAGAGCGACAAATTAAGATCTGGTTCCAGAATCGACGAATGAAGTTGAAAAAGGAGATCCAGGCGATCAAGGAGCTCAACGAGCAGGAGAAGCAGGCGCAGGCGCAAAAGGCAGCGGCAGCAGCGGCAGCGGCGGCGGCCGTGCAGGGCGGGCATTTAGATCAGAACTAGAACGAATTCAACTTGCTGCATCCCATCCAGTGCAACAATATTGTAACAAATAAACCGTTTACTTAACCTAAATTAATTCAATAATTCAATAATCATATTGATATTGTATGGTATCATAAAGCAACTATTTCAAATTGTTTGAAAAGCAACCGAAAATACGTAAAGCAGCAAACAGCAACAAAAATTACAAATAAATTTCGTAGACTCTAAGTAAATGAAAACAAAAACAAAAACAAAAACAAAAACTAAAAACTAAAAATTGAATATAAAAGTAGTGGGAATAATACAAGAAATCTACTTACCTAGATTCATACATACGTAAATCTATGCATACGAATACGAAATACAAATTTAATTTAAATTCCACAAAGAGTGTTAGAAGTAAACTAAAACCTAAATTTGAGAATTGTTTGCCCGCGTAAGATTTATGTTTAAAACGAGCAACAAATTTATTTTTCAAAAATTCGGTTCACATGTTGTTTACGAGCCCTGAGCCCTGTCCCATCCCAAAAACCCCCCAAAAAAATAACAAAAACAAAAACAAAAATAAAATAAAAGAAATCCCCTTTGTTGCTTACTGCTATGTTTAAATTATATTATTTTCTTTCGGATAAAAACGTTTCGAAAATTAAATTAAATACTCAAAATGTTAAAAAGTAAAAATTAAATTCTGTTGATATGAATTTTTGTAAGACGCGTTTTTAAACCAATTGAAATTCAAAACTAAAAAAAGAAAAAAACAAAAATAAAAATTACTTAAAACAAAACTATTGAAAATTTAACTTAAATATAAATAGAATTTGTTAGCAAAGTAAAAGAATATGAAAAATATATAAATAAAAACAAAAAAGGTATAATAGAAAGGTAAATAAAAATAACTTGAAAACGAGAGAGTTATTATAATACAAAGAATGTGTATAGTTCGTGCTTAAAATTAATGCAATTTTAGTTAACTTTGTTTAATTTTAAATTAATTTGTTTAGTTTTCGTCTAAGGCTTTTTAAGCGTGCAACAACAACACAAACATAAACATAAACACAAACAACAATCGTGAAGCTGTTTTCTTTAAGTAATTTTTAAAGTTTTTTTAAACTAAATTAAATCCTATTTTTATTATGTTTAGTTTAATGAAAAGCGTTTATGAGATTATCTGACAACAACAAAGCAGAAAAACAAAAACAAAAACAAAAATTTTGCTCCGGCAAAACGAATAAATTATTGGTTTTGAAAAAATCTACAAAAAAAAAATCAAAGAAAAACGAATGAATGAATTGTGTTATTATTTTAGTTGCAATTTTTGTTGTTTCGTTTTGTCTCCACTTAGAATTATAGAGCTTAGAGTTCTTTGATATCGTCGGGTCGTACTCATCGCCCCCGTTTATTGTGCATGCGAAATTGCTTTTGATCTCGTTTTCGTTAATTGTTCGTAAGTTGAATAGAGATGCTACCCACACCGATAACACACTCGATTATCGATTATCGATTGTCGATACTGCAACCGAGCTGTGCTCGAGATATTGTGTGTTATACTATTTTCAGTTCGATTCACTTAAGGGCTAACCAAGCAACCTTCACAAGATGTATACGTAACTAGCGCATAAGGTTCAACAGATAAATATATATACATAAATCCCTATATATACATATATATATTTATATTTATGTATTTTACATGAAAATCGAGTATAAATGAACAACAATAAGAGAATATTTGCAAAAGAGAAAAGAAACAAACAGACGACAGTACGTAAGAGATAAGTTAAATGTTATAGATTTTAAATGAAACATATACGTAAATATATATACAAAGAAGAAGCGCGGCAAACGTGGCTAAGAGAGGTCCAGCACCAACCACCCCTCCCCCAAAAACTAAAAAATAAATAAAAAAAAAACAAGAAACCCAGATGCTAAAATACAATACTTAATGAATTAAATGTGAATTGTCGTAGCAACGGATATACGTAAAAGATGGAACGGAGCGCGTCGGCGTTAGAATTTATTTCACTCTACAAACTTACCTACTACTTACTTATGTAATACACATATGTGTATGTGTATGTATATGTATTAATAAAACATTACATTACGATTATTGTACATTCTTGTGGCTTTTTTACTTTACCCTCACCACAGCCTCACAGCCCAATTGACATTAATAATGTTTGTTCTAATCCAAACCTAACTCATGTATAAACGAAACAAGCAATACCCGAAATGAACACACAGAGAAACAAATTAAAAGAGGAAAATTCCAAATGTCTTTTTGTGTAGGGCAATCAAATCGTTTATACTCGCATACTATGTAATTCTAATTTAACGCCATTCTATGTTAGATCCGTAAGTTGTAAATTATCAATATAAAATATACGTACTTTAAATAAAAGAAAAAACATCCAGTGAGAATGTGGTAAACAAAATAAAGCAAATAAATATTTGATTTAAAACTCAAAAATGTCGACTTTTCAAATCTGACACACAGATGGCGGCAAATGTTAGCGCCACCTTATGCTCGTTTTTCGCAGCTTTGCAAAGGCTGACGGGAGCTGACTGCTACAAAATCAGCGCATGTTCAGTTGGACTGCTGTCCAGCAGGTGGCGCCACGAACGGCTGCTTGCCACCCTGTATCATTGACATTCATCGTTCAGCCCTGATAGGATATATCGATAGTTAGCATTCATATCAAATACATTTAAGCGGATTCTGTATCCTCTACAGGTAACTATGGGTCAATTAATATTGGTATGTACATGTTAATAACGAAAGATTTTTTTACTAGAAAGCTAAAGATTACGAAATAAACGAATCAGTAAATTTATAATTATTTATAAGACGCATATAAGTCTTCCATTATGAGAATATGTATGTATGTCCAAGGAATAATGAACAGGTATACGTTTTCTCTATTTAACTTGTTTACTTGTTTTCATTTGAGTGAATACATAAATTAACCTTTTTGTATACGTTTATCAATATCTGGTAGAGCTAGATAAGACAAGAGAACTTTAGTACTCAAAGAGCGCAAATGTTCTCTTTTACTTTGAGATCCGCTGAGTATCTTCTGCTGAAAACTTGTTTTAGCACTTAACAACCTTAATTTATTCTCGTGCCAAGGCAGTGTATATTGAGTCTCTTACTGGCAATATAAATGTACCAGATAAACACAATGAAAACAGTTTAAATTGACACAATTTGTTTATAAATAATAGACATATGAAATAAAAATAATACGAAAATTATATTTTCTAAGCTAGCAAAGTCCTTATAAGACTGAGTGTTAGGGTATTTAGACTTCGACGTTCTGCAAATATTTTCTTTCATATCAATTGCTGCTTTAATATTTTCCAACTCAGTTTAGCTTGTGCTGTCGATCGGACAAGTGCTTCCTGATAGCACAGTTCTCTCAGTCAAAACTCGGATTAATATATATAACAACAGCAAAAGACATATTAATATATATATATATACATATATATTTATATATATATATATATGTATATATAGTACACTTTGGGAATATTTAATATGGTATTGAAGTATTTAAAGTCACGTTTTCTATGCATCTGCGTGACTTTGTTAAGCTTCACTGCAAGTAAGTAAATTATAGAATATTAATCTTACTTAGGCTTAAAATAAGTGCACATGCGCTCACTCGTTGCATATCTGGTGTGTTAATGCAAAGGTCTGCTTTGAGTCAGTACCTGGGGTCGTCAATCGAGTCAAGATTGTCAGATATTTGCTTTAATCAAGAAAAGAGAAATATGAGAGAAAGATTGAGAGAGAGAAAGAGAGCATGACATGAGGCAGAGCTCAACAATATATGTATAATAGCTCTCTGTTATTATTTTTTGTTTTCGTTTTCGGATTCGATGCCCGGTGTATCTTGGCGATAGATAAGCCTCGCTTAAGCATGCTATAACAACTTAGAACGTTAGGCGAATGCCTAATACTTATTCATGAGATCTCAAATTCACGTTAAATACAATTTTTCGAAATTAAATTCAAACTTTCTTATACGTAAAAGGATCCGTGCATGGAGCCTGTGGTGCCATCCAATTTGAGTGTGATAATGGCAGTTGCATTTCGAAATTCGAGGTGTGTGACGGAACCAAGAACTGCCCCGATGGGTCGGACGAGACGGGTATGACCTGTGTGTCCCAGCGACAGCATTGCACGAAGCCCTACTTCGAGTGCAGTTATGGCGCATGCGTGATCGGCACGGCAGCGTGCAATGGCAAAATTGACTGTGCCGATGGCTCGGACGAGACGCTTTTGCGCTGCGGATCTGCTGACGACGTACGCGAACTCGAAGTCCGGCTGCAGGAAAACTGCCTGTGAGTACCCAGAGTGCTGGGATTATTCAGATCAAAAAATGCTTTTGTTACCTCTAGGAACGAGGAGATCAAATGCCCGTCTGGCATATGCATTGAGAAGAGCAAGTATCTGTGCGATGGCCAGAACGACTGCGGAGATGTAAATGGCTATGACGAATCTGTCAAATTGTGCGGACACATCGAGTGCCCAGGATACGCCTTCAAGTGCGCCAGTGGCGGCTGCATCTCCGGCGATCTGATTTGCAATGGCAAGACGGATTGCTTCGACGGCACGGACGAGGCGCCTCTGTTGTGCAACACCACCTCCGTACCCACACAGCAACCGATCTTGCTGCCGATAGACCAGATTGGTTGCCCACTGCCTCACGGCGATGAGCTTCCCATAATGAAGGATCAGCACGGCGCCTACCTGAAGCCGCCTATTATCAAGAAAACGGTCTTCTTCTCCTGCAACTCCGGCTACGTCCTGGAGGGCGCAAAGATTAGCCGTTGTGCTAATCGACAGTGGAGCACAGACGTCATACCGAAATGCGTGAGTGAGTAGCGGTCTACTTCAGCTGCCTCTTTGTTTCTAATGAAGAATATCGTTGTCTCACAGAATACTGCGACTCGTTGCGTGACTCCAAGGGCCGCTCCAAGAACATACTCCATGGGTATTCGACTACTCCCACATGCACTTACGAGGGTCAAACGGTCAACTGCAGCGAACGCTACCATCCGCCTGGCACCGAGGTAATTTTCAACTGCGCAACCGGGTTTAGATCAATCAGCACTACGCTGTCGCCCATGAAATGCTTGCCCGGTGGGTTCTGGAGTCGTGGGCGCCTGCCGTGCGAACAGGAGTGTGGCCAGATTGCGACCCCCATCACGCAGTTCTCGGCCAACGGCTATTCGATCAATAACACGGTGGTGCCATGGCATGTGGGTATTTACGTCATGCACGACGAGAAGAAATACAACTTCGTCTGCGGTGGCTCCCTGCTCACCCCTGACCTGGTCATCACGGCTGCCCACTGTGTGTTCAACCAGGTGAGCGAGCAGACTTACAGCTTCGACACGTTTCGTGTGGTTGCCGCCAAGCTGTATAGGGGCTACAACGATGTCACCAACGAGGACAAGAGGCGGCAGGTCGAAAATATCACAGTTGCTCCGTAAGTATTGCGATTTTAAGTCATTTCAAAAAGGAAGAAGAGAACTTGTTTCTAAGCAAGATATTTTATTTTATTTTATATTTATTGTTACACCAACAAGCCTAATACAAATTCGTCTTTCAGTGGCTATAAGGGCCGGGAGGATAATTACCTCAACGATATGGCGCTGATCTTTCTAAGTAGGCCATACATGCTGAGCAACGTCATCCGACCGGTGTGTGTGGACTTCTTCAGCTATTCAGAAAAGGAGACCATCAACAACGAAGTGCAAGGTCAATTTGCTGGATGGAACTTTAAGGACAAACGCGAGCTGCAGTTTGTGCCAGCGAAATCGCAAATGAACTCCGTGTGCCTCACCCATCTGCGGGACATAAGTTCCGATAAGTTCTGCATGTTCACACAGGGCAGATCGCTGGCCTGCCAAGGCGACAGCGGGGGCGGGTTCACGGCGAAGCGAGAGACACCCGCCTTCTCCCGCGATCGATCTCGCCACTATCTGTACGGTGTCATCAGCAGTGCTCCAAATGCCGGCCAGTGTGCCGAAAGCTTGACAACCCTGACAAATATCCAACACTTCGATGAAATGATCAAGAGTGCCATACGGAAGAGTATCGACTCCAACTCTTAAAAGAGTTCGTTTCCATATATGAAGAGTACTTATGAGAGTATGGGGCAAAAAAGCAACAATTCATTTCTGAATTTTGGAAATGCACACAATAATTTAAGTCATATAATCAGTCATAAAAAATATAATTTTCTAATTAACATATCAATAGACAAAAGTTATGTCTGATATCCTAATGTATTGCATTGGCAACTTATAGTTCCATTTCTCTCACTGTATTTCGATTACTCAAAACCAAATACATATATTTAGTTGCCTTATAAAATTTTTTTTTAATTGTATATCTTAAATAAAATACTCAATACTTCCGAGTGATTATGAAAAAGTGACAATTATTGTAAATGATATTCAGCTAAAACGGAGAGGTAACAAAATGAATTCATTATTTACATATTACAAAGGGAAAATATTCAAAATGAATTAAAATATTCGCTGATACGCTACGGCGTATATAATGCCTTAGTAAACGGCAGGTGATGTTACAGTACTTTTGTTTCTAAGTATTTTATTATTCAGCATTTTGTGAAGCTAAACTAGTCTCTCTTGTGAAACGAGTATCGACAGCTTTATGCTGTGTCAGTTCTTATACTCTTGCTGCAGCATAATGTAGGGAAAAGCCATATAAAATATATTAAATCGACTCTTGTGATATTATAAATATACAAATATGTATGCATAGGCTATACTATACTAATTTCATTAAAATATAGGCACTAATATGTCTATGAATATGAATATATTCATAGATGTGTTGTTAAATTGGAGCTTTGGCTAAGGTAGGGAGCTGTTTCAACAGTTTTAAAGTCAGTTCATTTGGGCTGTCAATCAACGAGCAGATTCGTGTTAAGTTTTGAGAATATAAAACTGATTTACACATATTAAAATACATTTGAATTAATGCTAATGTAAGCAAGTACAGAAGAAATAAGACGCTAGATAATTTCTTAGGAAAACTAAAAAACCAGATCCAGATAGAGCAATTGCGTTTGATATAATTGTTTCTATAACCGGAATATTTCAAAGGTAAATATTCAAAATTGAAAAAAAACCACACACAATTTATATATAATCGCTATTTTTTTGACAAACATACTAATTGATTATAAAAATGCGAGCTGAAATTATGTGTTAAACACTCGAAAAAGCTTGGCAAAAGAGTGGAGTATATGTATGTCAGTATGTATGTAAGTAGTCTATTCTCAGCTCAGGGTTTTTAGCCGATGCTTTGTTTACAAATATTTGAAATGTCTACCCCAGAAATAGGTTTGAAGCTTGTTTTGAAACGAATATTTTAGAATTCTTGCCAAACAAACTGAAATTCGTTCAAAAATAATTTAGCAAATAGTTAAATAAGTCTGAAAGCTCTAGTCGGGGTGCCCAACCAGTAGATACCGTGATCCCAGTCCTGTCAGCGTTTTTATTATTTTCAATAGTTTGTATCGAGTATTAAAAAAAACACATAAAAAGTGACATTACGCGCATCAACTCTACCATAACTAAAATTTATAAAAAAAGAACAAAAACAACGACCCTTCGCCGCCTGGGCTCGAGCCTACAACTTGTCTCTTACGAGTGCCGTCTCTACCAACTCCGAATCGAATAAAAAAGAATTTGAATGTGTGTGTGCACACGCATAGGAAAAATGCGTGCGCGTGGCGCTGCTGACATGTGCTTTTGCAAATTGGCCAATCGTTTTGTTTCATCAATTCTGGTTTACTTCATGGACTTTAATGAAATGTTCAGCATATGATTTACATATTGTATTGGTTCGGTAGAAATGCGAACTACTTCACTTATTGACCCTATTTCCAACTGAACTTAAATTTCAATATTTTGGCGAAATTTGGTGTCGGTATGCAAATTATAACAAAAATGAAAATTGTAGAAAATATACATAAACATAAATACAAAATTTGGAGGTTCTAGCTCTTAAGCCGTACTAGATATAATTTAATAACTGCATATCAATTAAGTTTTTAATCGATAACAAAAAAAATTGTGAATGGTTATTGAATATATGATAAGCGAGTGCTATAAACGGATCTACAAAAAGAATGTTAAGTCTTTAGCTCTTGGAGATGCTGAGATCGACGCGTACACACATTCGGACAGACAGACAGCATTGTCCCAATAGACTCGGCTTGTCGTCCTGATCAACAATACACATATTTACTTTATCTGCCATGGCTCCTTTTGCCTGTTACATACATTTGCACAAAACCCTTATATCAGGGTATAAAAAACATTATTTATTATTATTTATTCAATATTGAAAATCTTGGCAGAACTCCCAGCCTTTTGAATTTCAATAACTTTTATTTCAATGAAATTAATAATCAACGCTTTTAGCCTTAATAATTCCTGTTTTTAGTATTTTATTAAATTTGGAAAAAATTCTAGTTATTTTTGGAATAAGTAAGCTCGCGTTACTTGACATGCAACGACATAAAAAGGATCCAGGCTCTAATCCCTTTGAATTTATGCATTCCCGGATAATGTTCTCAATCGTAGATATGTTTTTTTAATATCCTAATTTTTTCTATCTACTCTTTGTGCTGTTCTCAATATGTCATTGTGGACACTTTACAGAACATCAAAATTGTTAGGTTCATAAATTAGCAAGGACTGGTCGGCCCTGTGCTGGAGTCACAGTAGTGGCAGTAGTGCCTGGTGTCATTTGTAATTTTTTGCTGGAGCAACAACAAGAACAGCAACATCAACAACGACAACTACAAACAAATTTTAGTCCACTTCTGTTTTATGGCAAATTAATGGAGCGACATGCTGTCCATGCTCTAGCCGAACTCTGTCTGTCCGCTCTGTCCACTCGAGCCTAGCAGGTGGCCTGCATTAAGAGCTGCGGCAGTTACTTCCAGCCCCAGGACGAACCTTCACTGGACCGTAGCCCGCTGCCCAGCCTCAACATCTAGGCTGCCACGCTTTGGAGCTGCTGTTTGTTTCACACATGCCAAATGAATGAGCTTTTTTCTCATTGTTGTTATTGCTTCTGCTGTTGTTGTTGTTGTTGTTACAGCAGTTGCCTCTGTCGATTTTGTGCTGTGTGGGCGTTGGTTTCTTTTGCCGACTTTGCCATGTTGCCAGCCAGGCTAACATATTGGACATTTATTATTTTCGTGAGTGTTTTTGCTCGTCGGGTAAATTATGGTTCCACAGCCGGTCGGCGGTGCAGTGGCGGTGCAGTGGGTGGGTGAGCTAGCCCCAGCAACGAGCCCAACTGCCAGCAGTTCATTTGTTGCATTGTCGCCCCAAATTGGTTTGTACGGCCAAAACGCTTAGCTGGGTCAGATTAGATCTGCCTTTGTGTCCAGTTTTCAGCTGATAATACGCGTTAGAGTGAACAGGGTGTGGAGGTGGTACTGAGCGAAAGGGTGGTAGGATGGGGGTGGTGCGTGGTGCGTGGGAGTGTTAAATTAATAATTGCATAAATTTTACATGTGCTGTTGCATGAATTATGGCGGCGCAGCATAAATCGCGAATAATGTGCGCACTGGCCGTGCGAATATTTATGGCTGTGACTGTAAATCATCAAACCATAAACGCACTTGCAACGCCTAGCGGTTGCACGGTGGCAAATGCAACTCTTTGCACTCAACTTCGCACTGTGATTTTTTATTGAATTTACCAACCCAGCCGAGTGAGTTTATCATTGAGTTTTGTTAAATACGACCTGGAAATGAACTTGAAATGCATTGCACAGACTAACAAAGTTTGACTTCCGTGAACAAACGAACTAAATATTTATAATTCGCAAGTTTTGCATACTTTAACATACAAAGAATATAAAATATTCATAGACTTTTTTTGGCTCATAGCATAACAGATAAAAGATAATTTAATAGAGAGAGCTGATCATTTAGTTCACATATTATCCTCAAGATCGTTTAGTTTATTATTTCTGCAACTGAATGTCATTCCAAATTGTGCTCGGATAGGCCACTGCTGACCACAACATTGCATTGTTTGCACATTTGTATGGAATTCGCAGAAATGGAGTCGTGATAAATGAATGCGTAAATTTAATGAAGTTGCACAATTGTTAATATATATCAGCAAAAATATTTTGTAATTAATTTAATTTTATATATTTACTGACAGCTGAAGCTTCGATTTTGTGCTAGGCAGGCTAAATATTTAAAGGAAATTTAAATACTGCTGATATCAAATAGAGGAGAATAGAGATGGAGCAGATAGGAGAAAGGCGGAGAGAATGAAAGTGAGAGACAGTGCGAAATAAAGAAAAAGTCTGCAATAGAGAAAAATTCACTTATGAATTATATCTGTCGACCTCTTCTCTGACCGATATTATATTTTCATATCAATGAATAAGCACGCATGGAGCGTATTTCAATTTGTGAGACATTTAGCTCACTTTAGATATATACAGATCATATATAATATGTGATCAGATATTCAGTTATTCATATTTGATAAATAGAGGAATAGAGCTGTCGTGGATTATCAATCAGTGAGTCACTCAGTCAATTACTCAGTGCGAATAAACAGGTTTATTTAAATAAATAAATATATAGGTATCTACGTGCACAAATATATATAAGCATCTATATAGCCTTGGGTAAACTGGCAACAGATTCGCCCCTTTTCAAATGAAGCACTTCCGGCACATGCATCCATTATTCTTAATACACGCATGGAAATGAACAGAAATTCGCCCAATAAAAGTTCAATGCCATAAATTAAGAGCATCCTTGCCAGGCTGGCAATGTGGCGTGATGGGGCTGGCTGGGGCTGGTTGGGGCTAGGGCAAGCGAGCAGCTGCGGACCTGCGTCAATGGATGACCAGACGGGCGGGCAGCCAAAACTGCGTTTCCTGCTGCAGTGGCGCCTGCTGCAGCCAGCAATAGCCGTGTAGCTGCCGTTGCTGGTGGCGATGCCGGTGTCGTTTTCGGCATTGGTGCTGATGCTGAACGAGGCGCCGAGATATGCGATCAGTTAATACGTTTCCGCTTTGCCAGCTAATACACTTCCCATTTAGTTTCCGCTGCGCTCTTCAACGACTTTAATAACCGAGTGAGCTGAAACAATTTAACTGGCCGCCAGCTGCTGATGGTTGGCTGTTGCAGCAAAAATATGGAAAACAGAGAAGACATTACTCTCAGCTGGCGCACCGTGAACTCCAACACTTTGATGCTTCGCAATCATTTCATTTTCTATATACATATATTGCAG